TTTAACACCAATGCACAATTTTGAGTCACTGGTACAACCCTATACACATATGAAGAATGATTTGAATTTTAGCTTAGAAATTTTCAAGGTGTTATATAATGTCTGTTGAGATGACAAGAAACTACTTCACGAACTCCCAAATCAATGAAGACGAGAAGAGATGATCAAGATGATCCGGGCTTGTAACCTACACAAGTGTAGAAAGCAAGGGAGTGAGTACCAAACAACAACAGTACTCGACAAGCATCCCTACTAACCCTATGTAAAGCAATACAGAACACAAGTACTCCCAACACTTTAACCATACATCCACAAAACTACAACCAACACAAAATCAGATTAGCCCAACATAACAATTCTCAATTTTTGTAGCACAGAACACATCTAACAACACCTCAACATCTAGAGGTCATCATCACAGTCTTTCATATTCAACAACCACAATGTCTATAACAAAACACGCACAAATATTATAGAATCATAATGATGTGCAATGCAATTAAGTGCAATATCATATATAGTGATACATGTTTGTCCTACCGATACATATGTGCTAAGACTTAGGCCGAAACTTATGGAGGGCTCACAAGGTCCATATATCCGTTGGAATCATTTTCCATCCGTATAATCAAACAGATCTCATCACATTATTTCAAAATCAATGCAAGTAGGCTTGTTCACATAAATAATGAGAAAATGACCATTTTCATATCAAAACATAATCTATATCAACACAATCATGATACATCATCAATAATGAATCAATATAATAGTTCAAATCATCCACAACACATCGCACAACAATAAACCATCAAGTAGCCTTTTCATTTTTCTTTCTTCATCATTAGAATCATTCAACAAGAACAAGTGACCACGAATATCAAATTCTTCGCCAATTTTCATTATTTTCCAACACATACAATAAGAAATACAAGATTCTATATGTTTAACAAAGAATCAAGAAGTTCACTTGCCTTAAAAGAACAAATAATCAACTAGTCACTTGAGTTTTACCTTTCTGATGGGTCTCTAAATCAACAAAATAAAAAAAAAATATGAAATCACAATAAAAATTTGAGAACAACAACGCCCCATATCGATGATTTTGAAAACTAGGTCCAAATAGACCCAAAAAGTCATTCTCGAGGGCTGAGGATAAATCTAGATTTTTATTGAAAATCATAATATTCAAAGATTTCGGAACTCAAAAGTGAAATTGTAACGAAAGAGTTCAAAATCATGCTCAAAACTCTAACTTACTTAAAAAACATAAGTTCATGAGAAAAACCCTCAATACTCGGGTCCAAAACTCTGACTTAAATCTGATATATTTCTTGAAAAATATCTTATCCATGCTTAGGAAAGTTCAAATATGAAATTTCATCGAAAACATAGTTAAAATCGACGTCCTTGAAAGTAACACCTCAGACTATTATCAGTTTTTTAGTTTTGGGTCAACTTCAAACAATCATATCTTTTAGCACATAAAGAGTTAGGTGGCGCATGAGATATCAAATCGAAGGTTTTGAGTTCTCTTTCCAACGTCGCCAAGTTTGCTAAATTTCGAGCTCTGAGTAAAAAGTTAGGGTTGTTTGAGTGAAGCCTCTCTAGTTAAGGCTTTTCATCCATTTAAGGAAGGGTATTTTGGTCTTTTCCTTAACCCTACAGGCCTACCCACATTTTACTCACCCAATTTAGGGGTCTAATCAGACGTTAAGTCATTTTTCATATTCCTAAACACTTAGAACTTTAGGGCTAAGTTTCAAGAAGAGGAAAAGAGGGGTTTGTCAAGCGTTCGTTCAAGAGTTGAAGAATTTCGCCAAGAACAATCGTTCTTTCCAGGTATGTGAGGTTTCCCATAGTGATGGATTTGATCAGGTCGATTTTGTTGGAAAATTCAGGTTATAACAATAAATTTAGTTTCCTAATTGTGAAACGGTTAATTACTCAAATGTATCAACATAATCATTTGATTATTTCTACTAATGATTCTAACAAAAAGAACCCTCGAGTTTGCTAAGAGATTTTGGACCAAGGACATGCAAATTTACCTTTCTCCAATCTCTCTTAGAGCATTAACTTCATGTGGATAACTGTGGGTCTGTTTCAACTCGCAACCAAGTATTCGATTTCAACATCGATTTTACCAATTTTTTGAGGGGTTCCTCATGCCAAGCATGTAATTCTTTCATTAATTCATCCATGAAATCATTTATGTTAAGTATTCTTAAAGAGTTCTTGAGTTTTAGTCTCATTCTTTAACAATGGTGGTTTTGGGTTCTTGAGGCGAGGGTCTTGTGAATGAGTGTTGTTTCTTGGTAGATTTTGTGTGGAATTTCAGTGAATTCGTGTTGGGTTTGTGAATCAATGAGAATTTGGAAGGAACCAATCGATTCCAGATGAGTTAGGACCTGAAATTGAGAAGAAAAATTCGTCAAATTTTCTGAGTAGGGGCCTAGGGCGGCATGCCACCCATAGCACCAGGAGTTTTGTTCTGTAGTTTAGGCCCTGGCGCGACGCACCAGCAATGTGTCAAGGCTTGACTTCAGTAGTTCGGCCCTGGGGTGACGCACCACTAGTGCGCCAGGGTCGTTTGAGTTTCTTTTCTTTCCGTTCTTCATTCCGAACATGTTCCTTCGAATCGTACTTACTTTCTCTTTTTAATATGAACTCTTAAGGTCTTCATAAATCCTTGGGAGAGTCTATATGTCCCACCCACATGTCTTCATTTACACTCCAAATTAACGTAAGATAAGAGGAAAGTTTAAAGGTCATATCTCATAAAAACTTAAGAACTTCAAATGTTAATTATATACCTATATATATGTACCTATGTTGATTATTGGGCTTGAAAGATAAGTTCACAAGTGTTTTTTTTAAGAATGCAAGTACGTCTAAGAAAAATACTTCAATAAAGTAAAAAGTCCCTTCTTTGTAATGGGTGAATTGAGCATAAAGTTATATCAATTATTTTGGAAGTAGTATCGAGTATCGAATTAAGTTAAAGTCTTTTATAACTCAGAAGTCCCATAAAAATACGTAGCCAGCGTAGGATAGGTTTGATTCTTCATGTGACTCCTCGCTGCCTATGAGAAGGCCTCTTAGATGGATCCATAGTCACAATATCATCTTATACCCTGGCAAGGTATATGATGACCCTTGCAACGTGGGCAAAACGTTGTTTCATTGATAGGCTCATGGTAATGGTTGTCGGTTAGAAATACTCCCCACAAAGTAAAATATATTATTTTATGTTGCTTTCATTGAATATCTTATTGTAAAGTTTAAATGGTTCACTTCATATCCATGTATTGATCCAAATATGTTATTTTTAGTTGTTCAAGTCAGTTAATTGTTTACTCTAACCCTATCACTTACCAGTACATTCAATGTACTGACGTCATTCGACCTGCATCTGATTATGATGCAGATACATGTGCTAAGGATCATCAACAAGTGTTTCATTGAGATCACTATTCACTCGTAGTCAGTATTTGGTGAGGCCTCCTTGCTTCCGGGAGACTCCATTTTCATTTTAGTTTTAGTAGTAGTTGAGATGTCGTGGGTCTTATCCCGACATCTATCTTGAATTGTTAGAAGGTTCATAGACAGACAAGATTAGATATGTTATTGTTGTATCAAGTTCTTGATTTTAAAAGTGATGACTTATGTTGAGTATTTTAAGACAGTAATTTAAGACTCTTCTTTGAATGTCTAAAGGTTCATCTATCTAAGCTTCTGCATATGATGTAAAGTCATTGCCAGTCACATCCAGGGTGTAGACTCGAATCATGACATTGAAATTCTCAATTTATTAAACTTTAACTTCACTAGAAACCTCCAAATTCTCAAGCTTATACGCGGTTAATATGATATGTCATAAGGTTCCTATATATACATTTTTTTTTTTATTGAAAATTGAGTTCAAATCAATAAAACCTCAATTTTCCCTAAGAAATCACAAATAAGGAAAGAAATCAAAAGAAGATGTTTGGCACCAAGTTGTCTATCAATGGCGGTAGTGTAGCATTGCAAAATTTCATTTACAGGAGCCAGTTCACAAGGCTGGTGTTATTTATATTGAAAAGGAAAAAGCATACTAGTTCATGGTGAAATTGCAGTGGATGAAGATGTGTAGAATAGTTTCTTTCTCATTTTTCCAAATAGGGCATGGGTTATCGATATTAATCTCAATTATGCAAGACAAGGTCATGCGAGACAGATTGAAAATGCTATGTGAGGCAAGACAGAGCAGGTTAATATCTTTACAAGTTTAAATGGATTTGCCCTGCAACCACCCCGCTTTATTTGCCATCCCTACTTGTAGCGTAGCTTTTGGGTAACTATTTTTCAACTACATCTCAAATGGTGGCTAAACGTTAATTAATGCCCATAAACTTACCAGTGCCATGCCATTGCAAAAACATCTGACTAATGCAAGCAAAAGCAATATTGGCCAAGATGTAACTTACAACTAACTTTCAATCCCAAAGAAAGATGAACATCAACAACAGTACATCCTGGTCCTGTCTCAACAAGACAGAGACCAAAAACAGAATATCCTCGAACCATCTTAACAACAAAAGAAAGAACGGAACACTCTGAAGACACAGCGAAAACCTAGTATGTTTTTGAACAGTCGTGTAACTCAGACAAAAATAAGATTTTTATTTGTTCCCAAGTGCCCGACTAATAGCGTAGAGTTCATCCTATTTGTTCAGTACTATCTCAATTTTTTATTGGAGTTGACTGTCACAATAAAAATTTCAAAACACAAATTTAGAGAACAAGAAAAAGGTTGACAGAGACGAGGGATGATGAGTCCGAGAAGCAATTCTTCAGCACAACCAGAACATCCACCCGCTACGTGATAAAAAGTTATTTTGTTCCAAAGTAGCTCAACACTTCAAGGAGAATGAAAAGCAGCGAAGGAGATGGAACCGCATTAGCTTTACGGTTTGTCTTACCACCAGTGCTGTTTTCTCAAATATATATACTAGTAGACAACGTATCACTGGAATTACGATAATGTACAATTCCCTATAAGTTACACAAACATGAGTAGGAAACTTGGCCTCAAGCAGGATTCACTAACCTCCCACAGTAACTGCTGATCACCATTGACCATTAAACGCAAGAACACCTTGCAAGGTCAAAAATTGATGCCCTACTACATATGGTTCACATAACCAAGGAAAATGGGAAAAAAAAGAAGTAAAGAATGGAAGAAAATTCTCTAGCTATGAAGCATTTTGGGAAGCCACTAATCTCTCCCCATGCTTGTAACAGCACTGTACATACTCCTCTCCACCAATACTCGTAAAATTCCAAAATCACCAACTAACCAAATTCTTGCTCTGGAACTTGGACAGATTAGCTTATCTGCACAAGCACATGCTCAAAGAGAGTTGATCATAACATGAGTCAAAATGGTATCATGAATCTTGAAATATTACGATCCATTTACAGCCATTTCAGGAGATGACTTTGGTTGTATCAATGGACAGTCTTCTTCATGCTTCCTACTATCTGGAGATTTGTGCAAGCTTTCAGAATTTTTTTTAGGAGAAGTTGCTTGTTTGTTGGCATGATTTTCAAAATCAGCATTACCATTATCAGAAAAACTCCCTTCCTCATCATGGTTAGCCTCAACAGATCTCTTGTTTTCATCAGATTGAGGGCTACCTGGTGCAGCACTCCCATTATCAGCAGGACTTTCTGTAGTTTTGGAGGGCAACACAGCTTGACTTAAGGTTGAGCATAAAGCAGCAAAAACACTGTCCCTTGATTTAGAACCCTTAGCAACACGTTGCAACCTTTTTGGCTCAGGGTCTTCTTTGGGAGCCACCTTCCGTTTCAACGGAAAAGAGTCTGCTCCATCTTCATCAGAATTATCTGACTGCTTCTTAGGTGGTGGCTTATAATCTTCATCGTTGTCGTCATCCCCAGAATCAACAACTCCCCCGGATCTTCAGTAACATATGAGAAGTCATCATATGTCACTTAATTTAGCAAATACACATTCTAAAAATCACAAAATACCTATCAGATGTGTAGGTCGGAGCAGATCCATTCGGCACCGCCAGTTGAGACTTCACTCTGCTTGCATTCACCACAGAGGCTGATGCAGAATCTTCCTCATCACTGACAGATTGCTTGTTCAGTGGTTATCAAAATAAAAACAATTCTACAAAATAATAGGTAAAGGGATACCTCTCTTCGTTGAAATAATCTTCTTCTTCTTTCTCTAAACTACGCTCATCAACTCGTTTCCTCGGGTCTAATAAATTTCCAACACTTCTCATCCCCGAATCCTCTAGGGACTGCAATAACACAAAACAGCCATAATAAGCTCAAGTATCCAACAAGAACACATGACAGTAACAGGCATAACTATGCAGATACCTGCTCATATTTAACTTTCAGAGAGTTGATGGATGAGAATTTTTCAAACTTGACCAACTCATCCCAAAATGAGTCCACTAAATACTTGAGCAATATTTTTAAGTTGTCCTGCATAGTATCACATCAAGACCAAGAATGCATGAACAAACAAATATAAAGGAGGACAGAGAGAGCAGGGAGGCAACAGCCTGACCCAGTGAAGGAAGGTATGTGTACCTTACGGATGTACTCAAAAAGCTCTAGAACAGCCGAGTTCAGAAGATTATAGCGATCTCCATTAGCAACAAAAGCATTAACAATTGGTTTTAAAAGATTCTGCTCGGCGATATGATTCATCAAATACTCATCCTGCAGAATACACCCAGTATTTAAAAAAATATTTATACATATACAGAAGCATAACTCACTGGGTATGTTGTTGTTGTATACAGAAGCATAACTCCTAAAGATGTCTTCACGGAAGGAAATGCAAATATTAAGACCCCTAGAACTCAGCTATCTTATAGAAAAACATTGGTCACTGATATGTAATAGCAATGACAACTTTGATGCAAGAATCTTCTACATAGACAGATTTTTCTTTTTTCTTTTTTAGAAGAGGACATTCTATCTCATTGTATCACATTCTGTTATGCGAGATTAGAAAATCACCATCAATACCTTGGTCTAGGTCCGAGATAATTCTTTGTTCCATAGCCCCAGGGCTATTTAAAAATAGCCAATTAAGAAGTTTTAGATGTACTAGCACTTGCATTTCTTGTTCTATGTCCACTGGATTGGATCGAACTAGTTAATTTGGCAGGAAGATAATGGCATAAAAGAAGCATTCCTTTTGGAAAGAGTAAAGAGTTACTAAACAGGTCCATCCAGAGCACATCTAATAGTTTTATCCTCTAGAACCAAGAAAATGACCATTCTCTACAAACCCTATATTACATAAATCCAGATCCTGCATATGTTGATGATTCACGCTAATCCATTTCACCTCAATGGGACAGCATATAAAAGTTAATACACTTAAAGAGTCCCTCAAGCTAAAATTGAGCTAGGAATTCCATCTACCAAGCTGTCTTTTTGACTATTTAAATGAAAAAGATTGAAGGGCTTGTCATCGAACAGAAAATACCACATTCTATTTGGAGATGCTTTTGCGTTAATTTGCTATAAACCGATAATCCTTAGGCACATCCATACTTAACAACATAAAACACACTTCGAAAGTGTTAGAATAGGAATAGGATAGGTATATTGAATCTTACTTGAATAGGGATTTAATAAAGTGTTTATAAGTAGGGGACTGAGTGTAACAATGTAGATACACAATTCAATAACATTTTTTCTTATATTTCTCACATGGTATTAGAGCAGGACCCATCTCATCCAATGTTAAGTCCCTATATTCAAAATTATCCATGCACCAAATATCCAGCCCCGGGCGTGAGGTGGGGTGTTGAAGAATAAAAAGAAATCCCACATTGGTGGTTAATGAGATGAGTGGTCTCCTTATAAGGCTTAGGCAATCCTCCTTCTCTTGGACTAGTTTCTGGGGTGTGAATAGGCCCAAGACGACAAGACCTAATTTTACATGGTTTGCAACAGTCCCTTCAAGCTTGGTTTGGGAAGTTCAACATGAGTTCAGAAGTTTGGCATGACCCGTAGTGGAGCTAACCACTCTATGTTTAATTATCATTCTACACTAAATTTGTGAATTTATTTGGTGGTTTACATTGACAATATCGTTATCACTGACAATGATCAAGATGATATCACTAATTTGAAGTAAGGCAGGCAAATGGACAGGATTTTGGCCGGTCCGGTCCGGTTCCGGTACTGGTTCAACCGGTAAGGAACTGGTCTTATAGGGTACCGAAACGAAACCCGATTTTTTATCAGGTTGATCCGGTTCGGTAAGAACCGGTTCCTTTTCGGTTGATCCAATTCAACGGTCACTTCCATTTATTTTTTTATTTTTTTAAGTTGAACGTTAATTTATAGCTGTTGGGCCCGTTTAGCCGTTGGGTTAGGGCCCAAAACGGCTCAAAACAGCCCCCCACCCCTCTCTAACCCTTCAACACTATAAATATACCCATATTCTTTTATTTAAATCACAAATTATTTCATTAACATCTTACAAAATCTCTCAATTTTCAATCTCTCATAAATTCATAATTATTATTTTGTGATATTGACTTAGAGTTCGGATTTGGAGATTTATTTGAAGTAAATCGGAAGCTTCAATTGACATCTCTCAATTCCGGCTTTGGTTATATGTCTACTTTTACGTGGACGTTCGGTACATTCGTTCCAACTTTAATTTTTTATTTGTTTATTAATTAAGTTATTTTATTTTTTTTGTTATATTATCTTGCTTGTTTTTCATAATATTTAATTATTTTAAACTTGAACATGAATTTGGAAAGAAATAGTGGTAAAAGACCAATGTCGGAAAGAAAAAATAATAGGAGAAGAGGAAGTAGTTCTAATTCTAAAAATTTGCCACCTAGATTTAGATTTAATACTAATGATTATACTCATGTTGATGAAACTTCTTTTACATGAGAATTATACTCATGTTGATGAAACTTCTTTTACATGAGACTCACGACCTATTGAATTTAATTCCGAAAATAAAGTAGATCATGAGACTTTAAATAGATGTTTTACTAATTTTGAGAAAGAATTAGATGAGGAAGTAGAAATAAATGAGGAAGATGATGAGACCCCTACCCCTACTAGTCCGGCTACCGAATTACCGGAACAAGATGAAATCCCCTCTTTACCTACTTTTTCAAAGACCGTTGTACGTGTTAAAAGATGTTTAGTATGAAAATTTTTGGTACAAAATGAGGAAAAAACTACTGTTACTTGCACGAAATGTAAATTGACCATGAAACATGTAACTACGGGTACACAAGGGGGAACGGGACGACTAAGAACACATTTGATAAAGTGTAATAAAGAATTTGCTTGCCTAGATGATATAGAAAGGGCTAATAGAAATGGAATACCCATACCTAAAAATTCTATGGGAGTTGGAGGTTCTAATATGGTTCAAAGTGTATTAAATATGACCAACCCGGCTAGCCGAAGCACACACCACACATATAGTAAAGAAAAAGATCGTAGAGAATTAGCTAAAATGGTTGCTGTTTGTGGTTTGCCTTTTTCATTTCCTTCCCATCCTAGTTTTGTTCATTATATTCGGGAATTGTATAACCCAAATTATGAAGGTATTCCAAGAAGTATAATTAAAAGTGATCTTTTTAAATATCAAAAAGAATATTGTCATTTTCTTCGTTGTTTATTTGTTTATTATGATGGTAGAATATCTATTACTTCTGATATGGGACGTAGTCCTAATGGTAATGATTATTTTACAATTACTGTCCATTGGATTGACCATGAATGGAACATGCAAAAACGAATATTAGGGTATAAATATGTTGAAGAAACTAAAACCGGTTCTTATATAGCAACAAAAATAAGCTCTAATTTACAATTTTATGGAATATGTGATAAAATAATGAGTGTCACTTTAGATAATGCTTCTAATAATTTAAAAGCAATTGATTATTTAAAATGTAGACTTTGTTCAATTGATAATGATTCTTTCATATTAAATGTGCCGCACATGTGTATAATTTGATAGTAAAAGATGGTATTTCTCAATTTGGAATTTCTTGTGAAAAAATTAGACTTGCTTGTAATTGGATTTTTAAAGCTAAAGTAAAAGCTATAATTACAGAATTTAAAAATAGTTGTAAACAATGTGGACTTGCATATAGAAAAGTTCCAAAAAAAATATGCACTAGATGGAATTCTTTATTTGAAATGCTTGAAGTTGCTTATATTTATCAAGAGCCAGTACAATTAGTTTTTAATGCTCATAATGCGAACCCGAGTTTAAGAATTGGCTATGAAGATTGGGAAAATACAAAAGAACTTATTGAATTTTTAAGTGTTTTTTATAAAGCAACAAATGTTGCTTCTGGTCAATATTATTCAACTATTTCTTTTGTTTTAGTAAATATTTGTGCTATTTCATCTGAATTTGCAAAATTTTGAGGAAAAGATCGATTTGAAGATTCACTTACTTTTATGATTGAAAAATTCAAAAAATATTTTTTCCCTATTTCTCAAATCTATTTGACTGCTACTACTTTCAACCCAAATTACAAATTAAAAGGTGTTGAAAGAATAGTTGAAAAGATTTATGCAAATTTAGAAATTAAAGATGATAAAACTCCTAGTGTTGAAGATTGTAAAAGTAGCATATATACAAAAGCTAGAGAGTTATATAATACATATAAAGCCATGGAAAAATATTCCAATAGTTGAACCTCCATCTTGTAGGCCTAAAAGTGATGATACGAATGATTGGATGGATGGTTATCTTGAGCTTGAATCCTCTACTAATAATGATTTTGATTTATGTTTCAATCAGGCACGGGAAAAGATTAGGCATGAAGGAGGACAACTTCAAGCTCAAATATTAGTATGGTGGAAGAATCGTGAAAATCAATTTTCGACCCTTGCTAGGGTTGTTCGAGATGTGATAGCGATTCAAGCATCATCGGTCGCTTTGGAGCAAGCCTTTAGTGCGGCGAGATTTATGATTGGAGATCATCGATATTCATTAGCAAAGGATAGTGTGTTCTCTCTAACAACTTGAGCTTTTAAATGAGATGATCGCACAATTCAACATGATATCAGAACAGGCAGACCTGGGATCGAATCTCACCGCCACCCATATCAAAAAGAATTTTCACGTGCTTGACCCATGAAAAAAATCAAGTCTGCACGTGAGGGGGCGTGTTGATAATATAATTAATTAGTTAAAGTGTGTTCTCTCTAACAATTTAAGCTTTTAGATGAGATGGTCACACACTTCAACAAATCCAAATGCTAAACTCTTGTCATGACAGGGAGAGCCACTCAATGATCCTTGAAGGCCTAGGCGGCTAGTTAAAAAGTTGAATTATCTCATAGTAACTAAACCTGGCATCTCGTTTCTTGTGATTGTTGTAAGTCGATTTATTACTTCCCCCTATGATAGTCATTGGGTGCAGTTGTTCATATTCTACAATATATAAAGTCAGCTCCAGGTAAAGGACTACTCTTTGAGGATTGAGGCCATGAACATAAAATTGGATATACAAATATTGATTGGGTAAGATCACCCTCGAATACGCGTTCTACATTCGGATATTGTGTTTTAGTAAGAGGTAATTTAGTATCCTAGAGGAGTAAGAAACAAGGTGTGGTTGCTCGATCCAATAAAGAAGCAAAATATCGAGACAATGGTTGTAGCAACTTGTGAGCTAGTGTGCATCAAACAATTGCTGAGAGAACCAAAATTTGGAGAAATTGGTTAGATGCAACTTGTGTGTGATAATCAAGCAACCCTTCATATCGCATCAAATACATGAAATTGAGATAACTCAACACATGAGATTGATTATTACTTTGTAAGCGAAAAGATGCTCTGTCACAAAATTTGTGAATTCGAGTGATCAACTTGCAGATATCTTCACCATGTCCCTCACCACCCTCGTATTGATCACACATATAACAAGCTTGGTACATATGACTTGTACGCCCAAATTTTACGGAGTGTTAGAATAGGACTAGTATATATGATCTTTCTTGGAAAAGGATTGTAATATAATGTCTATAAATAGGGTTTCAATGTAATAATGCAGAATAATATTTTTCTTCTATATTTTTCACAGAAAGGGTGGACAATTATCTAGGGCAGCAAGTGTTGCAGTGGAACTGATTGCAAAAAGGGGATATAAGCCAATTTAAAACTAGATCATTCAGAGGTATTTGGAAAAGGGTACTCTAGCTTGTAGGGTTCTTTTTTGTTTATCTTGTTCACATGTTTCCTCCTTTAGGCCTATAGAATCACTATTTACCTTATATATAAGAATTTGAAAAAAATATTGAACTAAGGATCCAACCAGTACAATCATCATTGGGCAAGCCGATTTTGCATCCAAGGACATAAATACAAGACAACGAAATAGTACTCCCTCCGTTTCAAAAAGAGTGACCTGGTTTGACTTGGCATGGAGTTTTAGAAAATAAAGAAGACTTTTGAATCTTGTGGTCCTAAATTAAAGTTATGTCAAATGTACTAAATTGCCCTTCAATCTTGTGGGTTTAAACATGCCACGTGAAAAGCTGAAATTAAAATGTTACCAAAAAAGGAAAGAGGTCAGTCTTTTTTAAATAGACTAAAAAGGAAAGGAGGTTATTCTTTTTTAAACGAAGGGAGTAACACATATGAGGAACATAACAGGTGCAAGACATGCTTCTTACAAAAGAGGATTGACCAGATTAGTCAACAAAAGCCAAAGTATCTTGAGATCATGGCAGAGACAAAGTGGTCATTATGAAGGACAAATTAATCAAAACTTGATGCAGTTCAATCACATTGACAAATGATCCTCTTGGTTAATAGAAGTCAACAACTCACATTGCGGGAAATAAGAGTTCTCACGAATCTAACAGCAGCAACTACTAGGTACTTTTCTCTTCTTCGTGTCAACAACAGAACTTTATCTACCACATTATTAAGAAGAAAGCTGCACCTGCAACCCAGAAAAGAAACCACATTATACCAAAGGGTTGAAATAGGGCTTTGGTACCAAACAAATTGCATGCAGAGATGAGAAACTTACTTTATTCTATAAGGATGGTGCACGGCACAAAAACATAAGAGATCACATATATTTAGAAGTATTTCAGGCTTCACACAACTTTGCTTCACATTTCCTCCATCAGTGTTTGCAGACTCACTGACTGATAGTGAATCCCCATTTGGAGGGCAGGATAATGTTATAGTTTGAACCAATCCGGTTAGGTGCTTCTCATAAAAAATTTCAACAATAGTGTCCCTCTGCAACAAATTGAAAATGTTAGAAAGTAAGATAAATGAAAAGAAAATTGAGAGAAATCTTGCTTATTTCCTCAAGCATTGGGGTTTAAAAGGCTAAAGTGTACATATTCTAAATAGGGAAAATAGAATCAAAATAAATAATTACATGAGTAAATCAAGCTATAGTATATGTACAAGATCCAAAAATATCCTCAAGACACTTGCACTCTCCCTCAAGTTGGTGCATATAAATTGTTAAAATATTAATGTATAGAGTGTTCCACATGGAAAAGAATTGTAATGTATTGTTTATAAATAGGGATTAGTGTAATTATGTAGTTTATGCATCTTAATATTTTTCCCTTCTTTTACATCTCACTTGGTATCAAAGCAACCATGAGAAACATCCAGGATATAGAAGTCAGTTGTCACGCCTTCTTTTCGGTGACTTTCAGATCTGATAAGCATTACCATTCTTTCTGCCAATATTTTGTGAGAACTAACAGCACCACAAGGTCCAACAACCTCTGGCAACCAAATCCAACTGATAACTTTTGGATTAACCCTCATGCTAAGGAGGGTTCCCATGTCAATATCAAATCCTTAAGACTGCTACAAAAGATCATGGAAACCAAGCTTTAGGGATGAGAAGAAACGTGCAGCTACCAAAAATGTGAACCAAAAACATCTCCATGTTTCTATTTCATGGAGCTAGACAGAACACTGAGCTGCTGGAGACATGAACGAAATGTTTCCACAAATACAAATCATGGAGAAGATTTTGGTTGAAGCCTCAGGAAACATCTCCAAGTTACAAACATGGAAATGCATTGGGGGAGAAGATGGCCAAACACCTAGACATTCGAGCTTGGATTCTATAGGTTTTGAATACATTTGAAGCTTACTCTACGGTTATCATGGGTAAAGTGATGTAGGAATTTTTTTTTTCTTTGAGAAGGTAAAGTGATGTAATAATTTGCCTAGTATAAATACCCCCACTTTCCCTTTTTTGTAGGGCTAGACTTTGATGAGTGATGAGATATTCTCTTGGAGCGTAGAACACTCTTGTTAGCTTAGTTCTCTTCTACAGTTACACCATAGCTAGGTGACTCATGTATAGGGGTGTCAAATGGGCGGGTTGGGTTGAAATTTGAGATATTAAAATGGGTTGAAAAGAAAATTGGGTTGGGTCATGACCCGCCCAAATTTGTTTTGGGTCAAATGGGTAGGGCTCAAATGAGCTAAAAATCGGGTAGGGTCATGACCCGCCCAATTTGACCCACTTAATCTCAATAATTTTAACATATTGTTATTTAACTTCTATAACCATAATTTGAATTTCAACTCAAGAAAATAATAATAAAAAGATATAAATTGAAAGATAAATCCTAGAAGATATAAAATAGATAGTAATTTATACCTTCAATATAGGAACATACATCAACGCAAATAAAGTCTTAAAACGGGTTGAAACTGGAGATTAAATTGGGCTCAATTAAAGATTCTTTTAAAATGGGTTAAAGCTTGAATGAGTTGAGATTGAACTCAATTCTAATTATCTTGAGCCCAACCCATAAATTTTCAGATGGGTTGGGCGGGTTACCATTATTTGAGCTCATTTTTGACACCACTATTCATGTATTACATCTTTCTTTGACAAGGGATTCATGTATTATTTGTCTTCCTCTTTTCAGTGAATTGTTTCTTTAATTGAATCTTATCCTAATTAGTCTCAAGTTCTCTTTTGATTGTTCTTGAAGTTAATTGTTTGCTACAACAACTACATACTCGGGGTAGTCCTACAAAGTGGGGTCTTGGGAGGGTAGAGTGTAAGCCGACATTACCTCTACCCCAAGGGTAGAGAGCTAGTTTCCAATAGACCCTTGGCTCAAGAAAAATAGTCCAAAGCAGCTCAGGAAAAGGAATAATGGAAGTATAAGAAACAACTTATAGTAACACTATTAAGTAATACAACAAAAAATAATACAATAGTCGAAGTATAAGAAACAACAAATAGTAACACAATTCGAAGGACAAGAAACTACAAGAGTAATACTACAACTACTAGTAGGGACATACATCAGGACAATGCTTTCCCACCTACTAACTTTCTACCTTAATTTGTGTCCTCCACGACCTCAATCTAAGGTCATTTCCTGAGCAAGCTAAAATTTAAATTGATGTAAATTGTTTGTATTTTAATTATTTGATTCATCCATTCTTTGCTAGCAATCTTGGGTAGTGATTATTGCTAACTATCAATGTCTTCAACTAGTTTTTTTCTTATTTTTTAAAATAGGTGTCTTCAACTAGTTCTTAGTAGGGTCCTTGATAGTTCTAGCCTTAATCTCTATTCTACTTATATCTTATTCTTTTCCATCAATCTTTAATAGTATTCTTAGGGTGGGTTATTCCATATATAGCCCGTTAGCTGAATCTTCATGAGTTGAGAGTTATCACCCAGTCAACATCTCTAGCAGCATGCCCCACACGCACTGCTAGAGTTTAGGGCTTCGGTCGGTGCGTTTGTTACACACGCCGGCGCGTGTGAGAGATTCTGACTAGATGCCAACCACTTCCGAACACTTTCCATGGCAGCAACAGCTTTTCCAACAGTTTTTAGCAATTCCAGCAATCTATTTTTGCTGAAATTCTATATTAGGTCACCTTAAGCTGCTAGTTGCTTACATCCTCTCTATCAGGTTTGTATTATGGATCTCGACACACTTTTTACAACTCTATCAGTATACTCATATCTTCTTTAGCATTTTGTTGGCAACTATTTGCTTAGAACTCTCTTCAATCCAACAATGTCTCTCAAATTTGATGCTTCTAGGTCCAAAAATATTGGAGTTGGAATGAAGTCAGATAATTACTTCAGAACCCTTAATAGAAAGTCCTGAATATCTAACTTGGGTTTTATCAGTTGAGTTGTGGGGCAAAGGTCAAGTTGTTCAAGATCACTTAATCATAGGCTAGTGAAGTACATAAAACGGCCCCAACATAGCAAGAGGAAGTTAACGCTCAACTATGTAGTCTCTTATGGTGATATATTTCCAAATTGATGTCCTTGTTTCATCCATTCTAGATATGTTATTCAATTTGGGAATAGGTTCGCACTTCATATACTAATGAGTTGTTTCTTTCTTCAAACTTGAGGTAAGCCTCCTTTCTCATTCTTTTTTCTTGTTCTTCTTCTTATTCTATCTTCTTCTACGATGCTTTTCTACTTGGATATTATTGCTTCTTTTTTGTTCTTTTTCTTATTGATGTTGCTCCTGCAGCTGCATCTTCTTCTCCGACTACCACCATTGATGAAGGGTCTTTTTAAAAGAATTTAGTTTCCTGTCAGTTTGTTTGATAGTAAAAAAATCAGTTTATTTAATATTTCTTCAATAGTATTTATATAACTACTTTTGCTGTTTGTTTAAGTTTGATTGGTAGTAAAAATCAGTTTATTTAATACTCCCTCTATTTAGAAAAAAAATAAATTAATACTCCCTCTAGTCCTTATTAAGTGAATTGTTGAGAGTATGGCACAACCCTTAAGAAAAACATTTAAGGAAAAAAATTGAAGGTTACTTTCCACTATTACTCTTTTGATTGAAATATTTTCTATTATTTCTTTCACTGTTTATGTTTCAGATTTAATTTTGAGGCTCTAAATAATTTGATTTCGATTTAGCCCCTCGTATGGAAAATTATTTAGCTACTTGTTAGATTGAAATATTTTCTAATAGTGATGGACCCCTAACCCTTTATCAATTGAACCCTTAAACTCAATAAAACACCATATATTGAACCCCTCTGACTGTTGACTAAGCTTACGTGGCATTAAGATGACTGAATTGGTAAGAGTGTGTGATTACACGCCTCAACAAGCGAGTGATATCACATTTAAATTTTTTTTTAAAATTAAAAAATAAGAAATTGTTTTCTTCATTGTTGAGTGTGCTCGCCGACAGTAGAGTGAGAGAGAGAAGTTGGGCTGGTCCCTTTTTTGCCAGAACGGAGGCGGTGAGGGGGTGTTGGTGGCATCCTGGTACGCCAGAGAAGATGGAGAGAAGGGGTCCATAGTGGTTCACAGGGGCTGGTGGTTTGGAGAAACGAAGACTGTAGACAGGAGATGAGGCGAGTAAGGGTGCGAGGAGTTGGTCACGTAGGCAAAGAGGTTTGCCGGTCGGAGCTAGTGGTGCGGCAGGTTAGGGCTGCTGGTTTTGTGAAGGTCGGGGAATGAGGAAAGGAAAATGGCGAGGGTGTGCGGTGGAGGTGGAGATGGTGAGGAAGAGAGTATAGGTGGTGGCGGCAGCGGCTTTCTTTGCTGGTGGCAACGACTATTTCACGATGGGAATGGGAAGAGGAGAAGAGGAGGAAGACGACAATGCTTAGGTTATCAACCGTGTGGAGTTAAAATATTATTTTATTTAATTAAAAATGTTGAGTTAAAAGATTATTTAACCTATTATTTAAATTTTTAATTAATAATTTTTAAAAATAGTTAATGAATATAATTATGACATGTTATTTATTTAAATGACGTGGATTTGACATGTCATCTATTTAAGAGAGAGTGAACTACACGGTAGGAGGGGTTTAAAAATCTTCTTTTGACTGAGTTTAAGAGTTCAATTGGTAAAGGATTAAGTAGAAGGGTCCATAATACAGACTCCTACAAGTATAAGGGTCCATTAGATCATTTCGCCTTTTATTTATTTGTGCAAAGTTACTCGAAATTTTTGAAAGATTATTCTTCACTTCAATGAGGCAAGCACTTTGCTTCTCGCATTAAGCGAATCAGACCTTTGTTGCTTTTTTTCCGCTTCGTGCTTCCAAAAACACTGCTTAGAACAAGAAAGAGTGTAACAGAGAAGCACAAGACAAAAATTCAAGAAGGTTGAGAGTCATGAGGTCTTAGGTTCAAATTTTAATGGTGGTAAGAAACTACCCAATTTCTTCCAATATGTTTAAGCCTTAGTGAACAGAATTAACCTAGTTATTGTGTTGGTGGAAGATAAAAGATACCCTGTGAAATTAGTCGAGGTGCATGGAAGTTGGCCTGGGCACCGCGGTTATTAAAAAAGTACTAGAAGAAGACCAGGTATTGAAAGGTCAAAACTTCATTAGGGTTTGAATCCTAATGAGAGGTCCATTAGAGATCAAAACTTGTTGAAGGAGTCATTCAAAATCAAAGAAGAGGAAGAAAAAGATGATGAGGATAAACTGTAATAACCAGATAACAAAAAGCTATATTCTACATATTTCCCTTTTTGTCTTCTTTTATATAGGTAGGGTAAGCTTTATTGTTAGCACGTTTGCACTAAGAAAGTGCAAAGCCTTATTCATCTTTTAAAGTCAAATAGAAAGAACAGAGAGTTTCCTGTTCCGAAAAGCTTGTGCCTTACTATACGAATCACATGCTTCTTTGAAGTTGCTTCGCTTACCCACGTCTGTGTCACATCACTTCCTCGCATTAAGCGGCAAAATGATCACTTAATTTTATTTCCCTTCCCTTCCCTTCCCTCCCCTACATCCTGACCAAGCTGTAGACATAATACAAGTTGAATGCAACACAGCTTTCTCACCTATCCAGGTTAGTTATTAAGCTTGGAAATAACTAATAAGGAACCAAAGTTAATACATAGAAGAAAAAGGAGGTTGTACAAGTACGTGCTTAGAACTAGAACCTTCAGTCAACTTTTAACTCCCCTAGTACAAACAAGTTTAAGGGGAGCCACACCCTTTGATACAAACAAAAATTATCAATCATTGGGGAACCATAAAGTTACTGACAAGGCACCTGTAATCCTGACGCATATGAATCTAATAGACTGCGAAGAATATCATTAAACTGGCAGTGCATGTCATCACCAAAATCTGTTAGCATACCTCTGACCTGAAAATTCAAAACAAAGCCATTATTCACTGCTTCCATTATGTAGAAAGCACTCCATAGCCACAAGTCCTGAAACAATCTGCTAAAAATAAACACAGCAGACTGACAAAAATAGAAATAAGAACTAGAAAAGAAACTGAACAAGTGTAGTTGCCAAGAAAATAAATACTACACAAAGAAACAAATAGTAGCGTCCTAGTTTAGAAAGATCATGAGTTTCTTAACCTTGAAATATTATGATGAGGGTGTCTGATCTTTCAATATAATGATTTGTTGATACATGTCATGCTGAATTTTACTTAATATAATGGAAGTTCAATTGAGCGGAGTAAACTATCATATTAATCAAACTCGTAGGACTGAGAGGGATACCCAAAAAGTAATGGCAGGAAATGTAGCCAGCAGAAGAAACAAACGACATGCAGAACACTACAAAAAAAGAGAAGGAAAGGAGAGACCACCCACCAGCTATCCTAAACAACGGAAAAGAAGAGGTTAAGAGTAGGAGGAGCAAAGGTGCACTACAGGAAACCAACAACCCTGACAAATTGATCAACCAATCAACTTTTGGGGCTGATTTTACGAGTCCTCTATATCTATTACACATTATTCAGGTTTTTATCAAATACCAAATATATATTTTTCAAGAAAAGAAGGGTTTTTTGCATACCACACTTATCTCTGCACACATCAGTAGTTTAATTGCAACTAGTATTGCCTAAATGAATCCTTTTCTTCCATTACATTGCCACTCCTACAGACCGATGCATCAATACGTCTATGCAGAGCACGGATAAACCATTTCAGGCAACCTTCTCTTAATTTAGCCTCAATTTGTGCTACTTTCAAACTTCGTCAAATTTGGTCATTCTAAGCCCTGTCAAATCTTGCACAACACACCTATTCTAACACACATTTCCACAATATTCATCTTGGAGACATGTTGAGCCTCTTCTCTTCTATATAAAGTTGCTAGTCACTAACTCATTATACAGAATTTCCAATTCACCTTATTTAAGTATCTTTTAATCAATTAACACTCTTGTAGCACCCTTTGCTTGTTGTGCAGTGACAGTACCAATATCCACTAATCATTGTTTCCAGATACCGTTGCCGTTGATATCTCTTCTAATTCGTCGATACAATTTTAGTTATCTTTATATAATGTGTTGCATCTTCATCTAATATCATGTTATATAGCGAAGCATAGAACGAACATCCAGAGTAAAAGTAAATTTATATGGCGGAGATAAGTATTACTCCATAGTATTTTTGTGTAAGCTTTGGGATAAAAGGGGTTGCTTTAATTGCTCATTGTAATAAGTAATAACTATACTTTGAAAAATCTAAATTTGACCACTAGTATTCCAATACATCTGGAAAATGGTTACTTATAACTTTTGTTTTTTGATAGCCAAGAAATCCGTGTGTGACCCGCCCTTTGGACCAATCACAGCCTTCTATACTCGATGGATAATGGGCCCGCCCCTCTACCCTTCTCCACTTAAATATCGGGCTTCGCTTTGCATGGTGAAATCTAAAGTTTTTAACTAGTATTCCAATAAATCTAGAGAATGGTTACATTGACCCTATGCAGGCAATTTAGCAAGGGTCAGTTTTAGTTAAGTGAAAATGCTCTCAGGCACATTACCCAAAAACTCTCTCTCCTACTTTCTAGGAGAGAGAGAGAGAACCCTCTTTTCCGGTAGTTCACCTGAGATCTACCATTTTCATCCGAAAGGTACCTTTTCTTTCTTGTATTCTCCACTCTTTTTTGCAGCTATGGGGGAAAACAAAATATATTTTTATGCTGGTTTCAAATCCTTCGACATAACCAAATGGAATGCTGAGGATTCTGTTTGGTATGAGTGGGTGGAGAGAAGTCGAAGAATGATGAGAAGGACAACTATACGCAGCAAGGCAATGGACTGGATTTGCTCACTGCTTAGAGAAGCATCCACTGATAATAAGAAGAACATAAGGAGATGGAGGTTTGCAGACAGAAAGGAGGAATTTTTTTGTACTAGAAAACACAATGATTACGGGAGATACATGAGCATTATTGCTTTGAATGCTGGGGGAAGATCTGTAATCATCATTCCAGAACCCGTCTTAAATGCTGGATGGTACGATTTAGCATTTAAGATTGAAAACTTCATTAAATGCCACAAAGGACCGGTACCAACGATCCTATCAAGAGCTACAGATCCCAAATATCCTTATGCAAAGGCTGTGAGAGACGGCAAATGGCTTACTAAACGTCATAGAGAAACAGAGATGGCAAGTAAATCGGACAAGCAAGAGGATGGGCTATTGAGCAGGTGCCTTGTAGGACATTTGGAGAAGGCCAGCAAAGAATCACCTTCCTTATCCGAGATTAGAAGATGGCCATCATCTGAATGGAAGAAGACGTTTGGAGTCAACATTTATGAGCTATATGGCAATATGTTCCTCTTTGAATTTCCTAATAAATTCATGGCGGAACAAACCCTTCAAGGCCAGTGGAAATGGAAAAACCCAGTTTTCAACTTAGAATGGTGGAGTTCAACCCTAGGTTGTGAACCAATCTCCATAGAAGTTAAAAAGACATGGATCAAAATTATGGGAGTCCCTCTTCATCTTTGGTCACATCAAGTTTTTGCAGAAATAGGACAACTCTGTGGTGGATGGGTGGCTACTGAAGAAGGGACACAGTTAAAGAACCATATGAAGTGGGCAAGAATTTTGGTGGCCGATGATGGAAGAAATATACCAAAAGAAGTTTCAATTGTGCGTGATAGAAACAAGTTTTTTTTCCGATATGGGTAGAAAGCAAAGCAAGATTTGAAGTGTTGACGGAAAAAGCCTTGATTTTTACCGGAGAAGATGACAGTGTGATAAATCTGGATCATAATATGAACCAGAGGGTAATAAGGAGAAACCTCTGTGTCCCAGCTCAGAAATCCCTTATAAATAGGGATTCTAGTACAGAGACTCATGTGGGAAGAGAAAAGTTGTCAAAAGTGGTGGTACCCACTGAAGTATGTGACAACTACATAACCTTTTAATGAAGGATGATGCTTTTGGCCTCAATGAAAGGCCAGAATTTTTAAATGAAGGAACCAGTGGGCCTGACCCAGCAAGTTTGGTCTTTTTTAACAACATAACAATCTCAACGCAGCCCATCTTCAGAGAGGATTAGACTCTTAAAGATACAGAAAGCCACTTTTGTATGCAGCATAGAACAGGACAGTAACGTGAAGGAGATGTCGATAATCAGTTCAAGCGATGTTTTGGTAGATGCAGTCTTGCAAACCACAGATCCAAAGTCACAAATCCTGATTAGGGATGGGATGGAGAAGGGGGTAAAAGAAGTTGCATGCCATACACTTGAGCAGAGATTAGTGTCCTCCATTGAAAATGGGAGGTTGAAGAGGCTGAGCCATTGTGCACACAACAACAACATTTAACTACAGAAAAAAGAAAAAGAGATGTTTGTTTGGGTAAAACAAAATCTGATCAGACTGGGGAAATTACTGGGTGCCAACTTCCAAGGCCATGAACAAGAAGCTTTGGAACTTCTATAATAGGTGGACGTTTGCCAAACAAGCCAGACATCAGGATGCTGCAGTGGTTTGTAAGAAGACAAGGTTCAAAGGTTCTAAAGAATTGAAAAGTTAGTAGCATTTGATGTGAAATTCAAGAGTGGTGGGGGTAGAGAATAGGGGAGAAATTTCCTTACCATTTCATGATGCAATTCAAACTAGTATCATGGAATGTAAGGGGTTTGAATAATAGAGATAAGAGAAGGGTTATCAAGAATATTATGGGGGACTGGAAAGCTGACATCATTTGTCTACAAGAAACCAAATTTATCACTGAGTTGGTAAGGCAGATTTGGGGGGATAGGTGGGTCAAAATGGCATGTTTGGAGGCGAGTGGGACAAGAGGAGGGGCAATGATGTTGTGAGATAGTAGAATATGGAAGGGGGAGGTACTAGAGACAGGGACATATACTCTCACCTGTAGATTTTAATCACAATTGCAAGACTTTTCCTGCCACATTACAGGAGTTTATGCACCCAATTGCTATGTGGAAAGAAGACTAGTATGGGAAGAAATTGGCTCTATCGGAGGATTAATAGAAGGTCCATGGGAAATATGTGGGGATTTCAATGTGGCCAGATATGCTTCAGAAAAGAAATATTGTACTAGGAGAACAAGAGTTTTCTGATTTAATTGAAGATTTGAATCTAATCGATCTCCAATTGGAAAATGCTAAGTTCACTTGGTTTAAAGGGGATAACCATCAAATAGCTTCAAGAATTGATAAGATCCTGGTATCTCAAGAATAGGATAATGCTTTTTGTAATCTGAAACAGTTTACTACGCAAAGAATAATGTCAGATCACTCCCTAGTTACACTTCAAGGTGGTTCCTCGAAGAAGAACAAAAGTTATTTCAAATTTGAGAATTGGTGGTTAAGAACTAATGGTTTCACATATTGAATTAGAAAGTGGTGGGACTCATTCGATTACATTGGGAAACCTGACTACATCCTGGCATCTATATTAAAAGCTTTGAAACATAAATTGAAGGAATGGAATAGAAGTCAGCAAGGAAGTCTTGGCCAACGGAGAAAGAATTTTCTTGAAAAGTTGGTTGTTGTGGAAAATATTGCCACTGATAGAGCATTAACAGAAGATGAAGCAACAGAAAAGGCAACTTTACTTCTGAACCCGGAGGGTTTAATAAAAAATGAAGAAAATACTCGAGACAAAGGTCAAGATCTGTTTGGCTAAAGAAAGGGACAAGAATACCAAGTTCTTCCACAAAATGGCTAATGCATACAAGAGGTGTAACAACATAGATCAACTGTTTGTTCAGGGGAATATAGTCCAAGATCCAGAAAGGATTCAATAGGAAATAGTAGAGTTCTACCAGAAACTTTACTCGGAAGATGTTCAATGGAGACCTGGCAACAATTTCATAAACTGTCCAAGGCTAACAGGGGAGTAAAT